AAGTCTCAATCTTGTCACCCAGGCTGGAGTGGAATGGCATGATCTCTGCTCACTGCAACCTCGGCCTCCCAGGTTCAAGCAATTCTCCTGCCTCAGCCTCCTGAGTAGCTGGGACTTCAGGTGCACACCACCATGCCTGGCTAATTTTTTGTATTTTTATTAGAGATGGGGTTTCACCGTGTTAGCCAGGCTGGTCTTGAACTCCTGACCTCAGGTGATCCACCCGCCTCCGCCTCCCAAAGTGCTGGGATTACAAGCATGAGCCACCGCACCTGACTAATTTTTGTATTTTTTGTAGAGGCGAGGTTTTACCATCTTGGCCAGGCTGGTCTTGAACTCCTGGACTCAACCGATCTACCTGCCTTGGCCTCCCAAAGTGCTAGGATTACAGGCGTGAGCCACTGCGCCTGGTCACCGTTACTCTTTGGTAATCTGCTGAGCTCTGCTGCGATGCCTCTGCCCTGTCTTGCCTGGAATGCCACTCCCTCCCTTCCCTCACCTTTCTAATGGCTTCTTCAAAAGCTAGATTCACTATTCACCTACAGACATTCCCACCACCTCAAAGAAGGTGGGGTGTCACTGCCAAAGTGAAAGAGAGGCTGTACCACCTGCCATTAAGAAAGAGGCACACCAGCCTGGGCAACATATAGCAAAATCTATCTCTACAAAAAATAAAAAATCAGCTGGGTGTGGTAGCATGTACCTGTACTTCCACCTACTCGGGAGGCTGAAGCAGGAGGATTGCTTGAACCCAGGAGGACAAGGCTGCAGTGAGCCGTGTTTGTGCCACTGCACTCCAGCCTGGGCAACAGAGAACCTGCCTCAAAATAAAAAATAAAAAAAAGAAGAGGCACAATACTTGGTGTCATTGGATTTTGGAGGCAACACACACCCCCCGCTAATGAGCTACTCTGACCCAATTGCCCAGTAGACCAGAGACTGCCAGTTCTGAGCAACTGACTCTGCAATAGTCCAGGCTTTGGTACAAGCTGCTCTGGCACTTTGGCTGATGGTACTTGAAAAGTCTTTGGCAAATAGCCGGGTGGTGGCTCACGCCTGTAATCCCAGCACTTTGGGAGGCCGAGGCAGGCAGATCACCTGAGGTCAGGAGTTCAAGACCAGCCTGGCCAACATGGCAAAACCCCATCTCTACTAAAAATATAAAAATTAGCTGGTGCAGTGGCAGCTGCCTATAATCCCAGCTACTCCAGAGGCTGAGCCGGGAGAATCGTTTGAACCTGGGAGGTGGAGGTTGCAGTGAGCCGAGATGGCACCCCTGCAGTCCAGCCTGGGTGACAGAGCGAGACTCTGTCTCAAACAAAAAAGAAGAAGAAAAAGGTCTTGGGCAAATAGACTTGGAATCCCCGAAAACCAAGATAAGAGAATCACACACAGACCCCCAGGATCCAAGGCCAGTCGGGCCATCTTCAGCCAATTGTTTTAGCTTCCCATTGAATGCCTGATCATGGAACATCTTCACAACTTGGTTCACCACTTTCTTTTAGGGACCTTCCCATAGGTAACTACATCCTACACTCTGTGGCCTCAACTGTTTTGGACTGAATGTGTGCTTTATTAAACAGGACTCGTAGCCATTTGCCTTGCTAAGTGACCCACCTGTGTTGACTTTGTCACCCAACTCGTGTGTGATATTGAGCAAGTTAACTAACATCTTGAAACTTAAGAATAAGCCAGGCACAGTGAAGCAGGCCCATAGTCCCAGCTACTCCAGGGGACAAGGTGGAAGAATTGCAAGATCCTATCTCTATGAAAATAATAATATAATAATAAAAGTGCTGGGCTGGGTGCAGTGGCTCACACCTGTAATCCTAGCACTTTGGGAGGCTGATGCAGGAAGATGGTTTGAGCCCAGGACTTCAAGACCAGCCTGGACAACATAGTGAGACCCTCATCTCTACAAAAAAAAAAAAAAAAAAATCAAAAACTAGCCAGGTGTGGCACGTGCCACCTGTACTCCCAGCTACTCAGAAGGCTGAGGTGGGAGGATCGCTTGACCCCAGGAGGTTGAGGCTGCAGTGAGCCATGATCATGCCACTGCACTCCAGCCTGGGTGACAGAGTGAGACTCTGTCTAAAAAAAAAAATACGTTTTTTTAAAAAAAATAGGTAAATAAGCTGGGCATGGTGGCTCACGCCTGTAATCCCAGCACTTTGAGAGGCCGAGGCGGGCGGATCACAAAGTCAGGAGTTCGAGACCAGCCTGGCCAACATGGTGAAACCCTGTCTCTACTAAAAATACAAAAATTACCTGGGCATGGTGGTGCCCACCTATGTAATCCCAGCTACTTAAGAAGCTGAGGCAGGAGAATCACTTGAACCCAGGAGGTGGAGGATGCAGTGAGCTGAGATTGTGCCACTGCACTCCAGCCTGGGTGACAGAGTGAGACTCCGTCTAAGATAAATAAATAAATAAATAAATAAATAATTTTAAAAAATAGGTAAATAAATAAAAATGAAGGCCTTAGAAAGGTGCCTGGAGACCGGGCATGGTGGCTTATGCCTGTAATCTCAGCACATTGGGAGGCCAAGGCGAGTGGATCATCTGAGGTCAGGAGTTTGAGGCCAGCCTGGACAACGTGGTGAAACCCTGTCTCGACTGAAAATACAAAAACTAGCTGTGTGTGGTGACAAATGCCTATAATTCCAGCTACTCAGGAGGCTGAAGCACGAGAATCTCTTGAACCTGGGAGGCGGAGGTTGCAAAGAGCTGAGATCGCACCACTGCACTCCAGCCTGGGCAACAGAGCGGGACTCCATGTCAAAAAATTATTAAATTAAAAAGAAAGGTGCTTGGAACATAGTCAACAGTCAGTACCTTTAAACTGCTGTTGCTGTTATTATGGCTGATGGGAGAGTGTTGCAGAAATAGACTGGGGATTAAGTGAGAGACGTCCGGAGAAATAAGGAGGCGATGAGTATTTGCAGGTGCTCCTGCAGCAGGGCTCCATGGATTTGCTTCCATGCAGAGCGCCGCTGGACTCTCCTCACTGCAGATGGAACCACGCTGCCAGGGCAGAGGGAGGCAGCCCTTAGAACCGTGCCATGGATGCTAGGCCACAGTTTCCTCACCGTGCCCATCCTTGGATGAGGAAACTGATCTTCTGCACATGCTTCCCCAGGTGTTTAAAACTCCCTCTCTGGAAGAAGAATCAGAGAACGCTTTAGACAGGTTGTGCTATGGCTGGAAATAGAAACGCCGGGATCTCTCCTTTCAAGTTTTCCATACATTTTAATTTCCTTTTGCTGAAAGGAAAAACACTTGATTCTAATTTATTTGTAGGCCTGAAATGAGATTTTTCCTCAGTTGGAAGATGTGATGTGCTCTGTACACTAAATGAGAGAAGGGTTGGGAAAATGTAAGCAGGAAACTTTTACTGCAGAAGTAAAAGGAATAACTTAAGCGAAAGCCAATCTGAAAAGGCTGCATACTGTATGATTCCAACTATATGACATTCTGGAAAAGGCAAGACTATGGAAAAGGTGAAAAAAAATTCAGCCCTGCCAGATGTCGTGGGAAGGGGGGATGAATCGGTGGAGCAAAGTGGATTTTTGGGGCAGTGAAAATCCTCCGTGTGACAGTATCATGGTGGATGTGTGGCGTTATGCATTAGTCCAAATCCACAGAATGTACCACAGCAAGAGTGAACCCTCATGTCAGCTGCGGCTCCTGGGTGATAAGATTCCCATGCTAGCAGGATGCTGTCGGGAATATGGGAATCTCTGCGCCTTCCTCTCTATTTTGCTGTGAACCTAAAACTGCTCTAAAAAAAAAATAGTCTATTTTAAAAAATAAAAAAGCAAAATGAAAATGCAAGCTTGGTTTTGAGGGCATATTATTTAGAACTCTGCTGGGTGCAAGTAACAGAAGTTTCTAGCTCACTGAGTCTCAGAAGGACGTTATAGGTCATAGGTGCCTCGGGAACCGGGAGACAGGGATGATTACAGCTGCTGGGAGGAGGCTGCAGTGAGGTGGAAGGCAGAATCCCGGTGGCCTCTCTCTCCCCAGCTCCCCTGTTTACACAGGATCCTCTCCCGCTTTCTATAGACACTGCCCTTTCTCTACTCCAATCCTAAATTCCTGGGCCAGGGGACGCTGGTGGCGCAGTGCTTGGGGCAGCTCCCAGCCCCAGCAACTCTGGTCATGGGGGTGGAGGTGCGGGTATGGTTCCATACCAGCAGAAATCTGCAAGGAAGTGAACGTGTGTGTTGGGTGGGCCAGGGCGCTTTCGGGGGGGCCTCGTTTTGTAATAGTCGTGCCCCCATCGCCACCCCCGCAGGAATATGGTGTTCGTTCCCGGCTGAATTAGGCACCGCTTTCTGTGCTTGCTGCTGACACCCGCTTTCCTTTTGATTTAAGGCCGTTGCAGGGCTCCGCTTTGGAGCGGGCACTGGAGGAATTCTTTGGCCACCAAGCAGCCTCCGTGCGTCCCTCTTATATAACAGAGCCACCGAGAGGCTGTTTGCATTCTGCCTGCTTTTTTTCCGTTGCAGTAGTTTATTTATTAATTAGTGTGCAAAGGATTAAAAAGAGGTAATAAGCTTGTTTGTGTGCTAGTCCACGTGTTCTCTGTGCTCATTTTTTCTGCAGCCTGGCGTCGGGAACCGGAACGTTTGGCCCCAGGAGAGGAGGCCGGGACCCAGGGTGCCAGAATCTTACCGTGCAGAGGCGACAGGCCAATGCAGTTCGTTCCTTTTCCTTCCTCCCTCTCTTCTCCCCGCCATCTCCCTCCCTCTCCCCCTCCCTCCTTCCTCCCTTATCCCCCGCCCCCCGGAGGGTTCTGGGCGTCCTTGGAAGGAAAGGAGAATGGCCTCCAGGTCGGAGAACTCGCAGCCGTCATAGCAAACACCGCTAGGAAGCGGGGAAAGGAGCCATCGGGCGGTTGAAACTTGGGTTCCAGGCGGCCTCTGGTGGCGCTTGCGGAGAGAGTGCCGCCCGGCTGCGCCCCTCGCCCCTCAGCCGGGGACCCTCGGACACCTCCCGGGCGGGCTACCTCGCTGTGGTCTGCTCTGGCCGCTGTCCCCCCGCCTCATTTGCCACGCGCCCCTTCACTTCGGGGGTGCACGCGGGGGCATCTCCGCTTCCACAGTGTGGTGTTGAAATCCGCAAGGATCACAGCCCAGGGGGAGCTCGGCGGGAACATGGGCAGGATGGATGCAGGGTCTGGCCAAGACAAGCTTCTGGCTCCTCCTGCAGCGCTTTGTAATGGAGGCTGACCCGCCTTTTCCGTGCTCGCAGCGAGGGAGAGCCTTGTCGCCCCTCGCAGCACCCCAACACCCACCCCCACCTCCACCGTCCAGCGGCGGCCCTAGCGTCAGTTTGCACAGTTACCAACCTGAGCAGCCCCGCAGCGCGGCACCCAGCCAGCAGGACAGAGGGAGGGCCAAGGTGGCTCCCCGGGGAGGCAGGACGACCTCGTCGTCCGCCACCCCTCGCCACCCCGGACTTGGGGCCTGGGGGCTTCTGCACTGTTGGAATCCTGCCTGTTGGGGGTGCGGGCTGCCTTGAGAGAGGTTTCTGGATGTAGAGTCAGCTGGGCTCCCTCCCTGCCTTTCCCCTCCCCCCACCTCCAGAGACATCCAGGAAATGTACAGATTTCTGCGGCACTCTGGGGTCAAAATGGGACCCGGTGGGAAAAACATGTATTTCATTTTCCCTATATTATGTAATCACGTAAAGAAAATTAAAGACATTTTAAGCTGGGGTTGTGCTTTCTGTAACGGAATGAAAACCACTTCCAAGGCTTCAACTTAAAAAGAATAAAAGGAAAAGGAGGAAAGCTTTTTAAAAAGTTTACTAGGTAAATATTTAAAAACAAAAAGCAGCATAAAAAGAAAATGAAATACAAGCCATTAGGGAAGTGCAAAATATCAAGTATGTATGTAAAATTTTCTAATGAAATCTTTCCAACCCCCTCTTAGCTTCTTTTTTACTTATTATTACAATTTCAAACAGACATAAAAGTAGATAAGTAGGTAACAAACCCCCACCTTCAACAATGACCAATGTAGTCCAGGTGGTACTCACGCCTGTAATTCCAGCACTTTAGGAGGCAGAGGCGGGCGGATCACTTGAGCTTAGGAGTTCGAGAGCAGCCTGGACAACATAGTGAGACCTCCATCTCTACAAAACAATTAAAAAATTAGCTGGCCTTGAGCGCAGGTGCCTGTAGTCTCACCCACTCATGAGGCTCAGGTGGGAGGATCACTTGAGCCCAGGAGGTTGCAGTGAGCTGTGATCTTGCCACTTCGACAAAGCGAAACCATGTCATCAAAAAGAAAAAAAAATTTACCAATGTAGGGCCATTTTTTTTCACCTGTATTCCCACTTGCTCTCCCTCATTATGTATTTTTATTTTTAAATAATGAGATAAATTGAGCTTGTGTTTTAATTAGGCTTGGCTGCGTAACAAGCCACCCCAAAACTTAGTGGCCCAAAGCAACCATAGCTTACTATTTCTCACCATTCCAGTGATTGGCTGGACAGTTCCTCTGCCAGTTTTGACTGGAGTTCCTCCTAAAATGTCTAAGGTGGCCACTTGTCCTCTAATAGGCTAGATGGGCATCCTTATATGGCACCTAGAGTTTTCTTTTTTTTTTTTTTGCTTCCATCAACACAACTTTCTTTTCTTTTTTCTTTCTTTCTTCCTTCCTTCTTCCTTTTGTTCCCTTTCTTTTGAGATGGGGTCTCACTCTGTTGCCCAGGCTGCCACGCAGTTGTGCCATTATAGCTCACTGTAGCCTCAAACTCCTAGGCTCAAGCGATCCTCCTGCCTCAGCCTCCCGAGTAGCTGGGGCTAAGCACACAGCACCACGCCTGTCTAAATTTTAAAATTTTTGTACAGATGGAGTCTCACTATGTTTCCCAGGCTGGCCTCCAAATCCTGGCCTCAAATGATCCTCCCACTTCAGCCTCCCAAAGTGTTGGGATTACAGGCATAAGCCACCACACTCAGGCCATAACTTTTCCTTTTAATAAACTTTATAGTATATATATATATTTTTTTCTAAGACTCAATTCAGAGGATATAACCATTATTTTATTTTATTTTATTTTTGAAACAGAGTTTCGCTCTTGCTGCCCAGGCTGGAGTGCAATGGCGCCATCTCAGATCACCACAACCTCTGCCTCCTGGGTTCAAGTGATTCTCCTGTCTCAGCCTCCTGAGTAACTGGGATTATAGGCATGCGCCACCACGCCCGGCTAATTTTGTACTTTTTAGTAGAGACGAGGTTTCTCCATGTTGGTCAGGCTGGTCTTGAACTCCCGACCTCAAGTGATACGCCCACCTCAGCCTTTCAAAGTGCTGGGATTACAGGTGTGAGCCACCGTGCCTGGCCTTATTTTTTTATATTTTTTATTTTTCTAATTTTGTTTATTTTATTTTATTTTTATTTTTTGAGACCGAGTCTTGCTCTGTCACCCAGGCTGGAGTACAGTGGTAGGATCTCAGCTCACTGCAACCTCCACCTCCCAGATTCAAGGAATTCTTCTGCCTAAGCCTCCAAATAGCTGGGATTGCAGGTGCCCGCCACCATGCCCAGCTAATTTTTGTATTTTTAGTGGAGACGGGTTTCACCATGTTGGCCAGGCTGGTCTCAAACTCCTGGCCTTAAGTGATCTGCCTGCCTCAGCCTCCCAAAGTGCTGGGATTACAGGTGTGAG